TAAATATATGCTAGCTAGGACAATGGGATTTGTAGTTGTACATCCAGAAGACTAATTTTTAATCAAGCATGAATGTTCTTGTTTTTTGCATCCTTTCGTTTGAAGCTGGGGAAAATTACCTTTACTGGAACGCATACTTAATGTGCCATTCTAGGGGTTTGGGTCAAAAATGTATTTCAGAGATTTGTTTTTTTTTTCACTTTGGTTTGAATTATTGCTGCACTTTTCCCAGAAATGTTACTATTTGTAAACTTTTGATTTTTTAAAAAAATTTAGTCACTGAGTACTATGATGCCTTCATTATCTCCAAATGCATATCAGTATTTGGTACAGAAGAGATTGCACCTTCATAAGAAACCCCAGTGTATCTACCTTTCCATTAACAATTACTATTTATCAGTGCATTCTAACTGTCCTGCATCTTATCTGTTTTCAGTGTGCAAGTATGTGGCTTTAGAACTGAAGTCCTCTTTTGATGAAACTGGCAAGACCAAGGAGGTGATCGACACAAAATATGGCTTTTTGGATGGCAAGCAATCCAAAATCAAGTACACAAAATCGTAAGTGACTACAAGATAGACAAAGTGTGGGAGTTAATCATTCTTTATTTTGCATCTCTGCTGCAGATTGTCAATAGAAGCATAAAATGCATTGTGCATGCTTCCAAAGCATCTCTGACTTGTCCATCAGGCAAAGATGTTAAAAATCATATGGGAGAAAAATGGTGATCATGTTAGAGTCACAAGCTTACATTCTGTCTGAGATGTTGTCAGTTAAGACTTTGATGAGAATTTTCAATGCAGACCAAGGTAACTCTCCTTAGTGGTCATGTGAGAGAAACAAAGAGCAATTAGAGGCAAGTAATACAATTTCACTTCAGTAGCAAGAGAAAACTTGACTTCCCTTAAGACACAGACATGATGTCCTTGCCCTGACCTGGACAAATGGCATTTGGTTCCAGGCAGGCCAATGGAATGGGCCTTTTTCTCTTCACTCTGCTTTTAAAGGTGGTGGAAAGGGGATTATTGACACCACTCCCTTGGATGAGTCTAGTGAATACATATAGACCCAGTTCTTGGAAACGTGGAACCAAATTATGGTTGTCCTCAGTAGGTTGATGATAGAGGTACATTATTTTTGCTGTCCCTCTGATCTTTCCATCTAAATTGGCCTGATTCCATCTTGATTACTATTTTAATAGGTACCAGCTTCTTCCTTCTCCTCTCCATCTTAAAGATACCTGAATATCATACACTTTCTGTCAAGTTAGTTCCGCTCTTGCTTAGGCAAAATATAATACACGGAGGACAAAACAGTGAATTTTGACTTGAGTTTGCCCTTGATTCTGGTAAAGACTGTCAAAACTAACATATATAGTTAAGTGGTTTGGGCCCTATGCTTTGGTGCTTAGGTATCCATCCACATTGCTTTAGTGGACAGAATCCTACATGGTACATGTGGTTCATTAAGCTTGGTAAGCAGAGTTCAAACCACTACCAGGTCTCAGCAGCAAAATGGCTAGGATATCAGTTTGTCCAAGTGGCAAGTGAGCTCCCTTAAACATTAGACAGTAAGTTAAACTTTTTAGTAGCTTGAAAATAATACTGAAAGGTTTTATCTTATTGTCTAATGTTTAATGGAGCCCCCAGTGGTGCAGTGAGTTAAAGGTCGGTGGTTCGAATCCAGGGAGTGAGGTGAGCTCCCATCTGTCAGCTCCAGCTTCCCATGCGGGGACATAAAAAAATTCCCACAGGATGGCAAAACATCTGAGCATCCCCTGGGCAATGTCCTTGCAGGCATCCAATTCTCTCACACCAGAAGTGACTTGTAGTTTCTCAAGTCACTCCTCCCACGAAAAATGGTTGACAATATAATAGAAGTTCCAATATTATTACCGTATGTAATAAATTTTTTGTTGTATTACTGTTTTAATTTTTTAAAATCAATAAAATATATTTTGAGGATACTTTACATTTAAGAATATAATTAACCCTGAAAAAATTTATTTGGGTTATTTGAAGCCAATGCATATATTATACACACTCAGATCTTTACTATGTCTTATAAAAGTTAAACGATACCCTTATAGTTGTGGGTGATCCCAACAATATTTTAGACGTGGTCTGCCACTGGGCAGTCTGTGATCATTGTTATGTGCTGCCTTGGTTGTTCAGTGTCTGTCAATTGATAATGACCTTCCAGACCTTCTGACAATCATTCCAAGTCTGGGAAATTGCCCTCAGCTCTGTTCACCCCTATCTTGCCCAGGCACCGCTTGCATTCCCCTAGTCACTATATGAACCCGACAGATTGTTACAGTACTACAGCTTGCTATGTGACAAAATCAGTTCAAGCAGATGCTGCCACATTAAAAACAGAACCAATGGTAGTAACATAATCAATTCCTGATGTATAGTTGAGATAGGGCCCCCTGGTGGCACAGTGGGTTAAACTGCTGAGCTGTTGAACTTGGTGAGCGGAAAGGTTGGTTCGAATCCGGAGCAGGGTGAGCTCCCGCTGTTACCCAGCTTCTGCAACTTAGCAGTTCAAAACATGCAAATGTGAGTAGATCAATAGGTATGGTTCCAGAGGGGAGATAACAGCGCTCCATGCAGTTGTGCTGGCCATATGATTTTAGAGGTGTCTACAGACAAGGCCGGCTCTTCAGCTTAGTCATGGAGATGAGTATCACCCCCAGAGTCAGACTCAACTAGACTTAATGTCAGGAGAAACCTTTACCTTAGTTGAGATAACCAAATGATTGACACTATGGGAAGAAGCACCTTGAAACACCCATTCAAAAAATAAATTCCTGTTTCAGATCCACAGTACTTAGCAAAAAAATAAGATGTTATGGCCTGTAAGGCAAAGCCCTATGGCACTAGTGGAGGGAAATATTGGTAGTTGCAGATGGGAGAGATAGTCTCCAGGCAGCCATTCTACCATGCAGTTAAGTTCTGGATTGACAAGAATAAGTTTCCAGTAAATATTTACTAGTTATGTCATCAGATACTCATGTGGACAAATTATTTTGATCCCTGATTCTTCATTTTTCTGTCTACAGGGACATTCGTCTGATTGAGGTGACAGAAAACATTTGCCAGAGGCTTTTGGGGTATAATCTGCACAAAGAGAGATCAGGAAGCAACAGATTTGCAAAGGTGTGTGAAGTCTTGGAATTCTCCTGCTCATAGAATTTGTTTCATTAATTTCTGTAAGTTTTAGATTTCATTGATAAGCCAGTGGATAGGAGGCAAATTGCACACAAACAGGAGTTATTTTGCCTTGTTAATAAAGTATTATTCAGTGGACATTAGATCTTTGTTCATATTTTGAACGTTTTAATAGTTTTAATTAGATTGTTTATGTTATATGTTACTATGTTTTACCTGTGTTTTAGCTGGTAAATTTTGTTGTAAGCTGGGCTTGGTCTCCATGTAAGCCTCCCAGAGTTCCTTCAGGGAGATGGTGGCAGGGTATAAAAATATTGTTGTTGTTGTTGTTGTTGTTGTTATGTTTAGCACAGTGTTTCCAATCTTCAGCCCTAAATTTAATTTATTGAACGCAACTTCCAGAACTCCATTAACTAAGCTGCATAGGGCTTTGTGGAGTTGATGTCCTCACAGGGTTGTTGAAAGGCTTTTTGGAATGACTGCTAAGGCTTTTGATAGTATGGGTTCCAGATGGTTTGTATTTTTGGTCTTTGAATTGATTTGTTTTACATGGTTTTAACATTTTGATATTGTATATACTCATATATAAGTCTTTTTTTTGGGGGGGGCGGGTTGGGGTTGTTTATTTTTTTTAAAACAACACAAAAGACCTGGGACAGCTTATCCACATTAATGGGGAGGGCCAACATATAAAAGTATCCTCTCATTTTGACTGTTTATAGTTGCAAGTGTGACATTTAGTTTTAACCTGATCATAGACCACAGAACTATCCATCATTGAATTCTGTGGACTGCGGCTTGTTCCTTGGTTTCTTTGCAGCATTGTACATCTATCCTTCATTTACTTTGCTGTGGTCTTTCCAAATATAATTCTTAATTGACGTAGCTCTCATCACTTTAGGGCATGTCTGAGACATTTGAAACTCTTCATAATTTGGTGCACAAAGGAGTCAAAGTAGTGATGGACATCCCTTACGAATTGTGGAACGAAACCTCAGCAGAAGTGGCTGATCTGAAGAAACAGGTATGTTGGCACTTGGATTAGCTTTATAGTTCTAGCGCTGGAAATGGGGAATTAACTGTGAATATATTGTTTGTCACCTGGGGCCCCAAGGTTGGAAGAAAGAATATATATGCATTATTTAGGAAAGGCATTCCAACTTTTTATAATGAGAGGAAAGCTTGTACATCTATCAAATCATGGTTTTTATGTGGAAGTGGGTATGGTTATCTAAATTGATCCCCAGTCTGAGATTCTAGAAGGAACAAATTGGCACTTGAATCTTAGGTTCCCCATCCTATTGGAGAGATGTTGTAGGATTACCCATTTAAACAGGAAGCTGATAAGGAGAACCTTGTGACCAGAACCAACATCACTGACCTGTTGACCAGATCCCACCTTATCTTTTTAGGTTGTAAGCCTGCAAATAGGTTTTCTTTCCCCAATGAAGTAGAATGCTGTGAGTCTTATATCCTTGCTCATAGTTATTTATAACTATTGTAAAGTTTGTGGAAAACTCAAGGTGGATGCATTAACAGGATAGAATGGCTTCAGTCTTAGGACAGAATGGGGGTCAGTCTCCTTTCCCCCCTTTAACCTTCTTTGACATTTTCATATCTTATCTAAGAGATTGGAGAAGGTTGGATGCAAGTGGAAAGGAATGAGGAGAAATTTACCCTTCAGAAAGCAGAGGGTTATTTTTCCAAATATAAATTTATATTTAATTCTGTTTCTTTCGCCTTATTAGTGTGAGATAATGGTGGAGGAATATGAAGATGTGATTGAAGACTGGTACAGAAACCATCAGGAAGAAGACATCTCCCAGTTCCTTTGCGCAAATCATGTCTTGAAGGGAAAGGATACAAGTGAGTTTCGCTTTCAGAGGAACAACTGGTGGCTGAGGGACAAGTGTACAGTAATCCATTTTTTCTGAAAAGCCTATGATTGGCTACTGATGAGGGGTGTCTTCCAAAGAAGGAGCCTCCACTACACTCTGGGGCAGAGAGTTCCACTGCTGAATGGCTCTCACAGTCAGGAAGTTCTTCCTATTTCTTGTAGTTTGAAGCCATTGTTCCACGTCCTAGTCTCCAGGGCAGCAGAAAACAAGCTTGCTCCCTCCTCCCTGTGGCTTCCTCTCACATATTTATACATGGCTATCATGTCTCCTCTCAGCCTTCTCTTCTTCAGGCTAAACATGCCCAGCTCTTTAAGCCGCTCCTCATAGGTCTTGTTCTCCAGACCCTTGATCATTTTAGTCGCCCTCCTCTGGACACATTTCAACTGTGGAGCGCAGAATTGGACACAGTATTCCAGGAATGGTCTAACCAAGGCAGAATAGAGGGTTACATGACTTCTCTGGATCTAGACACTAGACTCCTATTGATGCAGGCCAAAATCCCATTGGCTTTTTTTGCCACTGCATGGCATTGTTGGCTCATGTTTAACTTGCTGTCCACGAGGACTCCAAGACATTTTTTCACATGTACTGCTCTCGAGCCACGCGTCCCCTTTTCTGTATGGGTTGGAATCTGAGAGCAAATATACTCCTCCAATCATTAGGAGAAAAAAATTAAGCTTATAGACCTGTTGACAAGTCCTAGTCTCAAGGGCAACAGAAAACAAGTATGCTCTCTCTTCCTTATGACACCCTTTCACATATTTATACATTGCCATCATGTCTCCTCTCATCCTTCTCTTCTGAAGGCTAAACATGCTCAGCTCTTTAAGCTGCTCTTCATAGGGCTTGTTCTCCGGACCCTTGATCATTTTAGTCACCCTCCTCTGAACACATTCCATCTTGTTAATATCTCACTTCAACTCCTTTACTGTTGATTGCGGTGCCTTTACTTTTGGTTTAGTCAATCATGGCTCTTCTTCTGTTCTTATGACTGGGAAGTGTAAGAGTGCCAATATCTCATGGTCCTTTCCCCTTATCATCTTTTCCTTTTTATAGGCTGCCTTGCAGAGAAATGGTCTGGCAAGAAAGGTGACCCGGCAAGTTCAGGGCAGAAGAAAGCAAAGAAAAAGGAAGGCAAGGGCAAAAAGTCAGGAAAGAGCAAAAAGAGCCGTAAGGATGAGGCGGAGCAAGAGAAGGTGAAGCCAAGTGCCAAAGAGGGGGGACCTGACCGAGCCGAGGAGGATGAAGAAGTCATTCAGAAGGCAGCCCCACTGTTACACACCACTGATGAGCTATAGGTTCTTGACGGAGACATTCTGCCCATGCAATAAAGCCTTTCAATAAAGGAAGGCTTTATTGGGCCAGATAACTGTGCTTGAGCCCCTTGGAGATACGAGATGGAGCTTCTCGCTTCCTTGAGGGAAAGTGCAAATATGTCTTTGAAGGTCACTTGAACTTGAGTTATCCAGTGTTAATTGTACCTCATTGCAGGTGAAGAGTAGATGGAACCCAGGTACCCTTTTGCATCCCTGGAAGAGAGAATGAGAAGGGCTGGTTACCTTGCCTGATGTCTAACCTTCAATAGCTGAGCCTGCTGCTTGTGTTGATTTCTCCTCACTACCTTTGACTTACCAAAAGCACCTGGATAGAAAAAGTAAACAGGAAGATCAGTCCTGTGGCAGTTTGCTCTATTCATGACTCTAGCCAAGGTATCTCTCATCAACCAAGTGGGCTCTAATGCTTTAGTTCTCTTCAGTTACTTCCTCGGAAAGTGGGTCCAACTCACCACTTCATCTGTCTCACTGAGTTTCTTGAGAGTGAAGTAGAAGTGAAGACTCTATCGGTGGAATTAAGAATGCTGCGCTTTTGCCGTGAAACTCCTTTTTTAAAGAGCTCTCTTTTCCCCTTAAGGTATTTACAGATGTCTATGAAGTTCTTCCCCAACCCGCTTTTACCATCTGTTGCTGCCTCCTAAAAGACTGTAAATAAATGGGAAGTTTTTTTGCACATATTGCGCTTTTGCCACTTTCTATGTTGGCTCTTTGTCCCTGTGAAGCAATGCTTCAGATATTATCGTATCTCTGTTTCTTAAATGTTGTTCCTTCAAAGGTTCTTACCTTCAGTTTTTTCTTGGGGGGATGGGGTGTGGCTTTTTGGACTACAGCTCTCAGAATCCCCCAGTCAGCATGGCTACTGGGGAATGATAGTCCCATCTCCCCAAAGTAACTTGGTTGTTGCAACTCACCTTGCTCCAGACACCACCACACCAAAGCTGTAGGTTTTGTAGTTTATTGAGAAAAAGGCAAAATCAAAACAAAGTATAAGAAATGCAAAAGTTCCATAGGCAGGACAAAGGCTTAAATGCAAAGACAAAGTTCCCAAGATCCAAAGGCAAAAACATGAAGCATAATCCTTTAGCAATGGTCAAACAAGAGTCCATGGAAAACAGTTGAAAACAAGGCCCAAATCCCAGACTCAGGAAGCCAGAAGCGTGCTGCTAAAAGCCAAAGTTAATCCACAGAAGTTTGCATGAGAAGAGCTATGTTGGACTGACAACCCTTGTTTGTCAGCTACAAGGCTAAATACCCTTTGCAGACATGAACGCATTGCACCCTTAGCTTTGGCACCCTTAGCTTCCCGCTTGCTAGCCAAGCGAGTGCTTCTCCGGAGCCTTAATTGCAGACGATCTTGTCTGCTCATTAATTCATTATCTTCAAGGCTATGAACCCCTTATCTTGGTCCAGCTGGACCGGATCACTGTGAGGAGGAAAAGGCTTCTGCACCTGGCCGTGTGGGATTTCACTCTCGTTATCAGTCTCACTAACATTCCTTTCCCCTGGGAACTGACTTGCTGTTTCTCCTCTAGCAGCCCCACCTTCAGCCTTGTCTGAAGCATGTACAGAAATCTGTAACCCATCAGTGTCATCATCATCCTGTGGGAATTCTGACTTAGAAGGCCCAACGAACTCAGCTTCAGACTCAGAGTCAAGCTGAGTCACAATACAATGATTAGCCTACTATATAGAACCGGCATGGGCAAACTTCGGCCTCCAGGTGTTTTGGACTTCAACTCCCACAATTCCTAACAGCCTCAGGCTGTTAGGAATTGTGGGAGTTGAAGTCCAAAACACCTGGAGGGGCGAAGTTTGCCCATGCCTGGGCTAAGGCAGATAAGGATTATGACCTGTTAGGATCATAACCTATTGGGTAGCAGAGTTTTGGAAGTGTTCCTTTAGTTTATTGGGTAATGGATTATCGCTGGCATGTAAATATCTAGTTTCTATTCAATGCTCTCAGCAAATAAAGATTCAAGTAGACTTCTTTAAAATAACATTTTTGTTTTACTCACAACTTCATCTATTTAAATATACAGACACATTTCTTGTCAGGTTAAACTTTAAAACATTTCGGTTTGTATCTTTAACAGTCTCTTCAAAACTATGTTCTGCACAGTTCTCTTTCATAACAGTCTACTTTCAAAGGAACTCAAGCCTCAACCGTTTCTATCTTCCTACACTGCCTTCTGTACTCAAACAGACTTCTGTACTCAAGCTGACTCAAGGCTCAACTGGTTTCTAACTTCCCTACACTGACATCTGACATTAAAAACGGACTCAAGCCTCAACTGTCATCCTTTAAAACTGCATCCTAAACAGCCACATGATCTGCAGCCCCTCCCACTGCCTCAAGTATATAGAGCTAAGGAAACTGAAAACCGAAGAACATATACATTTCAGGAAATAAACAACACATTATAAACAGACAAAACATTAAATAGAAGAGGCTTGAGAAGGTTGCTATCTCCAACACACGATACACGCTTATAGCACTTTGGTAGTGCTTCTTTAGTCCTGCCAGCACAAGGATTTAACCCAGTGGTTCTCAACTTGCAGGTCCCAGATGTTTTGGCCTTCAACTCCCAGAAATCCTAACAGCTGGTAAACTAGCTTGATTTCTGGGAGTTGTAGGGCAAAACACCTGGGGACCCACATGTTGAGAACCACTGGCTTAGACAGTTGGCTCTTTCCTTCCACTTCTAGATTCAAGCACTCTTTTTTTTCTCTTTCTCATTCTGTGTGTGTGTATATTTATGTATATGTGTATATATGTGCGTTTGTGTATAAATATGTGTGGCTTTTTGCATGCGTTGTAATGTATTTTATTTTTTTTGGCTTTTTAAAGTCCCTTCTGCTGTGTTTTTCAGTGTTTTTATGAGTGATGGTCGCTTGTTGGCCTGGTAGATGTATTGTGTCCAAATATGGTGCTAATTCGTCTAGTGGTTTTTGAGTTCTGTTAATCCCACAAACCAACATTACATTTTTATTTATATAGATAGATATAGGATCCAGTGCACTGATTTCTTTGAGCATGGAACAACACTCTAGAATGAATGCAGGTTTACACCATTTTAACAACCACAACTCAATGCTATGGAATCATGGGAGTTGTAGTTTTACAACACCCTTAGCCTTTTCTTGTGCCTATTAAAGGTAAAGGTTTCCCCTGATATTAAGTCTAGTCGTGTCCAATTCCGGGAGGTGGTGTTGATCTCCTTTTCTAAGCCGAAGATTCAGTGTTGTCCGTAGACATCTCCAAGGTCATGTGGGCACCATGACTGCATGGAATGCCGTTACCTTCCCGCAAATTGATTTACTCACATTTGTATATTTTCAAACTGCTAGATTGGCAGAAGCTGGGGCTAACAGTGGAAGCTCACCCTGCTCCCCAAATTCAAACTGCCAACATTTCGGTCAGCAAGTTCAGCAGCTCAGCGCTTTAACCCACTGCGCCACTAGTGTGGTTTGGTGCCTAACCACACTATAAATACCAGGATTCCATATAGCATTGAGCTATGGCAGCTAAAGTTTAAATGCAGCCTCTGTTGATTTTTGCCCTATATTCCTCGACACTCACATGCTGTAATATGGGACCAGCAGGTGGCTCTCTCAGAGCTTTGAAAAAGTTAATAGCTTTTGAAATGACAGTCTCAAGCAAAACCCAGCCTATCCTTGAAAAGCCCACAAAGGTTCAATTGAAGTTCATCCTCCGCACTGAGGTTTTGAATACTGTACACTAGGACTTTCCTGCTATTCATAGCAGACTTCCTCTTCTGAATTGCTTCCTTTCTATTGAGGTTTATCGCTTCTTAATCATATCAAAAGTAGCATGACTATTGCGCTTCCTCTTTTGTTTTGAGGCAAACAGAAACGCGAATAATATTTTTGGTTCCCCATATATTTTGCTGAAATCAGTTATTATACTTTTGGGACCTAAAGTCACTTGGATTTCTTTCTCATTCCTTAGCATTTCTTCCAACTTCTTATTTTACCAGTTGGGGGACTTACTCAGCAAGAATGGCACAAATTTCCTGGACCTCGTGTGCCTTATGTGTTATTCCAGAATTAGCAATGATGGCTCTGATATATGTGGTTTTCTTTTTCCATTTTGAAGTGTTTCTCCTCTTAATGAAGGGCTTAATTCATAGGCTGACCTTATTGTTCTCCATGACCTACCCTTGCAAGAAGCTAGCCTTCACAAGATGCAGTGATGATATAATTGGGCAAATACACTTCTTCAAAAGTATCTTCCAACATGTCTTTTGTAGAATCATAGGGTTAGAAGAGATCCCAATGGCCATCCATTCCAACCCCATTCTGCTAAGCAGGAACACACAATCAAAGCACTCATAGAATCACAGAGTTGGAAGAGATCTTGTGGATCTTCCAGTCCAACCCCCTGCCAAGAAGCAGGAAAATTGCATTCAAAGCACCCCCAACAGATGGTCATCCAGCCTCTGTTCAAAAGCCTCCAAAGAAGGAGCCTCCACCACATTCTGAGGCAGAGAGTTCCACTGTTAGGAAGTTCTTCCTAATGTTCAGGTGGAATCTCCTTTCCTGTAGTTTGATGCCATTGTTCTGTATCTTAGTCTCCAGGGCAGCAGAAAACAAGCTTGCTCCCTCCTCCCTATGATTTCCTCTCACATATTTATACATGGCCATCATGTCTCCTTTCTGCCTTTTCTTCTTCAGGCTAAACATGCCTAGCTCTTTCAGCCACTCCTCATAGGACCCTTGATCATTTTAGTCACCCACCTTTGGGCACATTCCAGCTTGTCAACATCTCCCTTCAATTTTGGTGCCCAAAATTGGACACAGTGTGATTCCAGTTGTGTTCTGACCAAGGCAGAAGAGAGGAGTAGCATGTCTTCCCTGGATCTAGACATTAGACTCCTATTGATACAGGCCAAACTCCCATTGGCATTTTTAGCTGCCACATCACATTGTTTCCTCATGTTTAACTTGTTGTCCACAAAGAATCCAAGATCTTTTTTCCACGCACTGCTGTCGAGCCAGGCGTCCCCCATTCTGTATCTTTGTATTTCATGTTTTCTGCCTAAGTGGAGTATATTGTATTTGTCCCTGTTGAACTCAGTTTTGTTAGTTTTGGTCCATCTCTCTAATCCAGGGGTCCTCAGACTTTTTAAACAGAGGGCCAGGTCACAGTCCCCCAAACTGTTAGAGGACCAGATTATAATTTGGAAAAAAAAAACATGAATGAATTCCTATGCACAGTGCACATATCTTATTTGTAGTGCAAAAACACTTAAAAACAATACAATAATTAAAATGAAGAACAATTTTAACAAATATAAACTTATTAGTATTTCAGTGGGAAGTGTGGACCTGCTTTTGGCTGATGAGATAGGATTGTTGTTGTGTGCTTTCAAGACGTTTCAGACTGAGGTTGACCCTGAGCGAGGGCCGGGTAAAGACCTTGGAGGGCTGTATCCGGCCCCTGGGGCTTAGTTTGAGGACCCCTCCTCCAATCTGTCAAGAGCATTTTGAATTCTGCTCCTGTCTTTTGGAGTATTCTGCCTTGGCCAGACCTCACCTGTGTCCAATTCTGAGCACTGCAATTGAAGAGAGATGTTGAACAAGTTGGAATGTGTCCAGAGGAGGGCAACTCAAATGATCAAGGGTCTGGAGAACAAGCCCTATGAGGAGCGG